TCAATGTTTTCCTTCTGTCTCTCCTACTGTCCACTTCCTCGCGCCGGCCCACTCCTATCTGGTCTGTCTCTCTTCTCCTTCTGTCTCTCATCTCTGTCTGTCTGGTCTCTCTAGATAACTGTCTCTTGTACAGATAGAGATATTATGGTCTGATCTGTCTGTACTGTCTCTCTCTGTCTGTCTCTCTCCTGTCTGTCTCATCTCTCTTCTGTCTCTCTCTCTGTTGTCTTTCTCTCTCTCTCTTTCTCCTCTCTCTCTCTCTCTGTCAAATTATTCTCTCTCGAGGATATATATATGATCTGTATCTTTCCTCCTGTCTGTCTTTCTCTCTAAGAATCAGTCCTCTCTCTCTCTGCAGTCCTCATTCTCTCTCTGTCAGTCTTCTTCTCTCTGTCAGTCTTTGTTATCCTCTCTCCTCTTCCTTTGTATCTCTCCTCCTGTCTCTCTCTCTCTTGTCAGTTCCTTCGGTACTCTCTCTTTGTCAGTCTCTCTCTCCTTGTCAAGTTCTCTCTCTCTGTCAGTCCTATCTCTCTTCTTTCAGTCTCTCTCTTGCTTTCTTCTCTCATAGCCTACCTCTCTGTCTTGTCTTCTACTCTCTCATGTCTTTTCTTCTCTTCTGTCTTTCTCTCTCCTCTCTTTTTTCCTCATCCTCTTCTCTTTTCTCTCTTCTCTCTCTGTATACTCTCTCCTCATCTGTCTTTCTTCTCTTTTCTCTCTCCTCTCTGTCTTTCTCTCTCTCTCTCTGTCTTTTCTCTCTCTCTCGTCTCTGTTCTTCTTCTCTCTCTCTGTCTTTCTCATCTACTCTCTGTCTTCTCTCTCTCTCTTCTTCCTCTCTCTTTGTCTTTCTCTCTCTCTTTGCTCCTCAACTGTCTTACTCTTTGTCTTTCTCTTCTCTTATTTCTTCTTGCTTTCTCTCTCTCTGTCTTTCTCTTCTGTCTTGTCTCCTTCTCTCTCTTCATTGATTAATTTCTCTCTCTCTCTCTCTCTGTCTCAGTCTCTCTCTGTCTTCTATAACTCCTGTTCTGTCTGTTCTCTTCTCGTCTGTCTGTCCTCTGTCTCTCTCTGTCTGTCTGTCTCTCTTCTCTTCTCTCTCGAATCCCTGTTCTGTCCTCTCTTCCTTTCTTCTGTCTGTCTTCTCTCTTCCTGTTTCTGTCTCATACTGATCTTACTGTCCTGTCTCTGATATTACATAGATCTGTCTGGGGGGTTTCCCATTTCCCCCCCCTCCCTTTCTCTGTCTCTCTCTCTCTGTCATAGACATACACTCTCTGTCTCTCTCTCTCTGTGTCTGTCTCTCTCCTCGTGTCTCTCTGAAATCTGAATGTTTCTTTGACATTCTTACATAGATATATCCGATATTTCAGGTGTCTCGAGGAGGAGAGAGAAGGAACTCACTCCATCAGGTTCACCGGGAGATTTGGTTATATAGAGATATAGATTTAGATCAAGATAAACTCTTCCCCATATTGATTTGTAGTATGAAAAATTTTCCAATACATATTGACTAGAGGTCGTACTTTAAAATTCATAATTGCTTTTGCAAATTCTTTGCACTTGAAAATGCATTATCTGTATGTTCCAGTGTGTTTCATGGAGGAAAGGTGTGAAGAAGCGGCCTGAAAACAGTATAGCACAAACGAAGACTGATGAAATTTGATAATTCGAGTGTTACAACTGACAACATATGAAAATGAAGACAGAAAATGGGTGCTGACAATATTACAGTATGAGAAGCTCGATGCTATTGGAGGAAAACTGGGAGAGATGAACATATGAACTGGCTTGAGGTCATTGTTACTCAAAATTTGAGCCTACATATATTTATTGCTTATTACTGCTAACTATACTAAATACATACATTTCTATACTCATACATTAAAGTTCATTATCGGAAATTGTCAAGTGTTTGTAACATAATTATCAGTAGAATGTTTATTACAATTAACCTATTTCACATGCATCACCGTTATGATCATCCTTGTCAATAATATTAACCATGACAATGAATAGGCAATGGCATGAAATTGTTCTCCTAATTTGCAAGAATCAAAACCATCGTTACTATTTTCTTCGGAATCCACAAGTGAATTTCAACTAATAGAACAACAGCATACATAAAAGTAATCATTCGAGGTTAAATGCAGTTATTTTCAAGAATAGTTTATTTGATTTTATTTGACGTACTCCTTTGTAATATTCGAAACAATTTGTTCAGTCTGCTGTGTGCACATTCTATTCACACTCAATGCACTTAAATGTAGAACAACCAACAAAACATCGTGAAATATATTAAAATTTGAAATAAATTTAGGTTCAAATTATGGTAATATCCCCTTATCAGTTGAGTCATTAACTTTCTTTGTTACTGTATGTCCATATTACTAAAATTATACTCTGAATCTTACTTATATCAATTTCAAACAACCTTGTATTTATTTTAGTCTCTAAAATGTGTTTTTGTCCTTGTTGCAATTGCCAAACACAATATATGTTGTGCATAAATAATAAATCAATTGTTTAGTCGTGGAGTAAAATATGTTTTCTTTAAAATTGCTCATAATTCTTAGTTTATTACAGAATCTGTCAAGAGAAATTTGTCTCATTTCTTACTTTGCCACTATAATATGTAAATATTACTGCTTTAAAGTTCTGTTGGCAATATTTTTTTTAATGTACAGGATCCTTTGGCGTTGAGAGGAGGAAGTGGGTGAAAATCAGTGCGACAGATTTTGGAAACATGCACAGCGGGTGGCAGAACGCTCCCTTTCCTTCCAGATCAGAAGCCAATTCATTAAAACTTTTGTGGGGTATGTGACAACAATGGCAGTGCGTTATGTGAATTGCGACAGATGGAAAGGAACGGAACTCCTCAGGTACACAGTTATTATATTCACCTGAATCCCAGTATGCAATGTGTCAAGATTTTAAAAAGATTCTGTGTTAGTTTGACAATAATTTAGTATCCATTTTTGTGTTACTACATCTTACTTTACCCGTATTTCTTTGTATTGCGAGTCAAACATTATTACTGGTCCTTGATTGTAGTTTTAATGATATGAAAGTTGATGTAATGTGCTTATTACCTGTAGAAAGTTTCATATTTATCCTGAATATATAGATAACCCCTAGTTAAATTGATTCATTTATATAATAGCTGAAATATACGTATTATCTCCTGAATATCCTGCACCTAATAAAGATCTTGAAAACAAAACTTGAAATAAAAAAAGATCTACTGATTTGTTACAAAAGTTTCCAAGAATGGCTGTTGTTTATACATCTATACATCACAACCAATTTTTTTATATCAAAAAAAATATTTTTTGATTTTAATCGCTGTTTAGGAGTTATGTTGAATAATTTTATTTCCTGTCAGGCCCATCTACTTTACAATCAAATACAGAACAAAACACAATTAGAACTTAAATTTATAAAATACATAAAATAAATCATTCCTACAAAATCATTCTAAAATAAGTTTGTTTGCTTTCATTGATAAATTGATAACTGTCAAAGCATTATATTAAGATCAAGTTTTAATATTAACACTTTTCATTGCCCAGGCACCCTGGTGGTCATTTAACGTCCCTGAGTGAGGCATATTTGACATGTAAGGTGGGATTTCACTGGGTCGATATAAATTCCGCAATATCTCAGGAACTATCATAGCACAATTTTAGAAATTTTTCAGACATACTTATTAAGTTTTAAAAGGGAATGATAATCTTGTGTAACAAATACCAAGGTGGAGTAGTATTTTACAATTAATGCACAGGAATTTGTGTTACTGTATCAGCTAGTTGAAAGTATCCCGCAAAATGTTTTTATTTATCCATTCTGAGATACCTTCCAAAACCCTTTATCACTTCGTCAAATAGCGTCAATATTCTTTCAATCACCAGAATCATCGTCGCCCAAATATTTCATCTTCTTAACGAAAGGAATTTTCCCTCAGGATACTGAGATCTATCACCACCAGACTCGTATAGACAGCTATTTTCTAAAAACAAAATAAATTAACACTCTTCCAAGTCATTTTCAATTGCAACAAAAACAATGTATATCGATTCATATGTAGGTTCAACAGATCACTATTATCACAATCACAACGCTTCTTTCGTAAAAAAATTTGCATTTGAATGGACGGCATTTTGATGAATGCCGTCCAAACGGAAGAAATTTAAAAACACAAACGCTATTTGAATACAAAAGAATAACTCATCTATCGAAGTACTTGGCAGATGCGGCAGAGCAGAAATTAAAAAATGTTAGTGGCAGAGCAAAAATTTTGGGCACAAAAGCGTGAAAGCACCATGACAATATTTTTTTCCTTTGAGTAAGATCATGTTGATGGGGGTAAACATTGAACAAAAGTGTTCTTCAAACAACTTCAACCAACATGGAAATGAAATCCTTCCAACTTCCTATTCTTGAACTTCGTATTAATATTTAGAGACTAATATGAAATTTTATTTAGTGTCATAAAGTGTTGGTAATTGAATTGTAGCATGCTCTCATATTTTAATTTTCATTAACAATTAATATAATAATTTATTTTATAACATTTCTTTGGGCTGGGCGTTTGATTGCCCAGCATTCACCAAACAAACTTCTTATTTATACTACACGTACTTGTAAAGCGTAAAGTTAGAATTATCTTCTGGTATGCATTTTTTCAATTGCATTTTGTGTGCTTTTCAGTGGAAACGTCATGGTTGCCTTCCTAGTTGAAGTTAATAATTAGTGAGCCTGAAATTTTGCTTAATGGAGTGTTTTGTGAATACAGTTAAAATCTTAGTAATAACTTAATAACCCTTTCTTTTGGTTCCCTCCATGCAGGCAGAATGTTTTATCAAGAGGCATTCAGAAAAATTGGCAGATGTTCAAAACCTAGTAATGCGGGCAGTAGGTGAGCATGGAAAAGTCTGGGTGTTGCAACAACATGCGCACACTGTTGTCTGGCCCGTCTGGAACAAGCACTACCGCTGCTGTCAAATCCAGAAGTGATGACCGTGCTTGGTCAACAGGTCCTATTGCACTAATTGTGGATGAAGGAAAGAAAGGTAAAGTGTTATCATAATGTGTATATTATTTGCACGTTATATTTGGGTGTCTGTTTTGTGGGTCTGCTCCTAGCAATGCATTGTTTTGCAACACTCATTTCTTTTCTTGATGAAATGGCTTGTACCAACCTTATTTAAAAATGTACATAAATGAACATTACCAGAAAGGGTGTTTCCTTGTAGTTTGTCTCAATTCATGATTTGTTTATTTTCTTTCATTACTCACTTCAAAGTTCAGCTGTTTTTTCAGTTACTCTGTAGCATCCTTTGTGCGATGTGTGTGTGTCTGTGTGTGGTGTGTGTCCTGTCTGTGGTGCGCGAGTGTCTTTGTGTGCCGAGTGTCTGTCTGTGTGCGCCGAGTGTCTGGTCTGTGTGCGCGAGTGTCCTGTCTGTGTGCGCCGAGTTGTCTGTCTGTGTGTGTGTGTGGCGTGCGAGTGTCCTGTCTGTCTGTGTGTGTGTGGTGTTGTGCGGCGTGCGAGTGTCTGTGTGTGTGTGGTGCGTGCGTCGCAAGTGTCTGTGTGTGTGTGTGCCGTGCGAGTGTCTGTCTGGTGTGTGTGTTGCGTGCGAGTGTCTGTCTGTGTGTGTAGTGTGGTGCGAGTGTCTGTCTTGTGTGGTGTGCATGAGTGCGAAGTGTCTGTCCTGTGTGTGTGTGTGGTGTGTCGTGGTGCGATGACTGTCTGTGTGTGTGTGTGTGTGCGCGCGAGTGCTGTCTGTGTGTGTGTGTGTGGTGCGGCCGAGTGTCTGTGTGTGGTGTGCGTGTTTGTGTGGTGGGCGTGTCTGTGTGTGTGTGTGTGTGTGTGTGTGTGCCACACGCTCGCGTACATGTGTGATTGTAGTAACATGCTAACTTGCCGCTTCAACATTTGTTGGATGGCTTGATCATAAATTTAAAACCTTTTGCACTACACGTTCTTTATATTCAGTGATCTAGAAGGAAATTGCTCAGTGAAATTGATCATTAAATTTGTCACTAGAGTGAAATTTATTCTACACTCCAAAAAATAGCACAAGCATTTGATAGAATTTGCTCGATTATGCATGTGCATGAATTCCCATAATTTAACGATTATTAATGTAACTTTTAAAAAACAGTTAATTAATGTCCAATAAAATGTTTGAAAGTGCATGGTGTACCGTTGTATTTAGTTTGTGGCTATTTTCTTCAACATATTATTGAAAAGAGTAAATTGTTTAGTAAGTACAATGTAATGATGAGTAATATGATAACCAACTTCAGTTGTAAATAAAAGGAAGACAAACCTCGGTGAATGTGACAGAACAATACTTATCAAATTATTTAATGGTTACACGATATTATAGTACTGCATAAAAGTGATATAAGTGTTTCCAACCAATAAACATTTTATTTTTCCTCTGCGGTGAGATTCATACTTGCAGAGTAAGCATGCACACATTTAAGTTTAAACCCTCTATTTCCCCCAACCTCACTGCCAAAACCTGAATCTTCCCGGCATTTTGAAAACTGTGAATGCTCCAAAGAGCAAAAACTTTCTTGCATCAAGTAATGATAAATTATAATACTGCACATTTCTGTCCGAAAATTACATCAATCAGCCATCTTGTAAACCATTACCATTCATTGGCACATTTAGGTGGGAAGTGTGGGGGAAAATTAGCAGAATTATTCTTTTTCTTAGACTTTTGCTGCTACAAGCCAGTTACCTTTGTGTCCATTGAGACACATTTGGACTAATACATTAGAACATTAACAACACCATACAGGCTCATATGATCTGTGGTCAGCAGACGTGAGGCCCTCCGCAACAATACATAACCTTAAGAGACAAGTGTCAAACAACCATGCCCAAGGCCGTGACTGCGAACCCCGCAACCCGTCAGACCAAAGGTGCTGAGTCCTGTACACGCTCGATGAAAAAATTAGAGCTGTTTTTTAGGAAATGTTTGTAATAATTGCAATTACTTTAACTAGAATTTACAAAAAACTCTCCTCTTTTTGAATTTGTACATGACTTTGTTAAAAGAATAATTTATTTTAGAAACAAATATTAATTTAGCAAAAATTTCAAAAAACTTCAATATTGTCTATGGGAACATAAAATAATTTTGACAACCGTCATTTTTTAAAAAACAGGGAAATTAAAATCAAAAATGAGAATCCATGTCATTTTTTAAAGAGTTCTTTTGTGGTATTTGAGAACAAAATTTATTACCAAAATTTGAAGCTAATTTTTGTCTAAAAAGTTTTGGAAAATGGGTTTTTGAAAGGTTTATGTAAAGTAATTGCCGCAAGATCAAATTCATTTAAACTCTTAGAGCCTTAAGTTTGTTCAGTTTAAATCATGGGAATTATCACTTGGGAAGAAAGTCATTGAATGCTTTAAGCCAGGTTGCAGGTTGCTGCGGCCCACATTATCCACTCTTGTGGCGCGCGAAAAGGTTATTAGTCAAAAGAGAAGTCCTTGCATCCAGTCACGCAGGAACATTGCGCCATGCCTCCTCTAGAATCAAAATGTCCTTAATGTAAAATTAAGGTTAAGTTTAGATTTCAATTTTTTTCAGTAAAATTACGAATCATCCTAATGCCTTTCACTGCATTTTGCATGGTAACACCCTCCTAGCACGATATTTCCTCACCTCCCCTCCGGATTCAGAGCAGCCGAGAAAACTGATGGTGATCAACAATACAGTGAATCAGGTTGGATCTTTGAGTAATTGTAAATATGATCTTGCAAAAACATATTAATATTTTTAGTTGTGGCCCTTAAAGCCTGCAAGTTAGAACACCCCTTGTTTAAGGTGGCATAGATTGATCACAGACTGGCAGTCGATAATGAGAGGCGAGCCGATGGATTACTGGGACAGTGTGACTGAGTGACACACATTTTGCTTGGTTATTTTCATTTTTGGGATCAAAAGACCCCCCCCAAAACAAGGCATTTTTGACTCAGATGTTAGAGAAAGTAATTTACTACTTATAGATTTTCCCCTTTTCATTTACCTATGCCTGGCTTAAGCTGATAAGTTAACAATAAGTTCTTCGTCCATTAAAACTGAATTTTTGAATTTTTTTTGAATTTGCCTTATTTTACCATGGGGAGACTCGGCCAATCAGGCCCGCTCTTTCCGTCCGACCACGCAAATTTTCGCTACTCTCCTTTCAACCAACTTAGCAGAGAAAGGAAGGATATCTTGGGCGAGAACAAAGTGAAGAACTTTCTATTCACAAATGAAATAAATGTTCTTTGCAAAAAAAGAAACAATAATAGTACCAGTTTCAAAAGTTTCATAATAACAACAATTTAACGAAGGAAAAACTGTTTCAATGCAATTTAAACCGGCAATCGCATGCCCATTGAAAACGAACAGTAATTCAATTAGCTGATGTTTAAGTATCAAAATTTCTGGGTCCCTCAATTCAGTCAAACATTATCAGCAATTGTCTGGTGAAAAACAGAAGTAAATTAGTAATGGTTTATCTACCTCAATAAAACCATGATGCCAGAAATAAATGGTCTTAACCTGCTGAGTATTAATATGTCCATAAAGGTATTCTTGAGTATCTTTGACAAAATTAAGTCATAAAGAAACCAGGCCTATAATTCTGATCAAAGATGGATCACTTTTTTTTAAAAGACACGACACGACTCCAATAGAAGGGAATGTACCTGACACTTTTTTAAAAAAATCATAAAAAAGGGAGCACATAATATTGCATCTAAACACATTTAAATGAAATAAAATTGAGATATTTTCATCCTACTCCAAGAAGTAATTTTGTCAGGCATAGAAAGACATTTTTTCCTTAGCGAAGTCAATATCCTCGAAATAATTCATTCGCAAGCTGATTCAATCATCCAATAATTTTCACCAAGGGAGCATCCAGACACTACATTGAAAACAAGAAGAAAATGCCTTGAAAAGGTAAATCCACAGATAGCCATAGGTTTTGAAGTGGCTATTACCATTGTAATGCATAGTTGTTTGGAATTCTAACAGTTGTAGAAGCACCAGTAGTGGTGGTGCCCAAAATTACACAAGATCATTAACAAGAGACTATTCAATATTTCTGTTAAATCATTATTGTTTTCTAATTAAAAATTTCAAATCGCTACCGAAGAAGTTCTATAATAGCCGTATTATCATTAAAAATCTGAATGACCGTGAAGTCCAACTTTAATTGTTTTCTGCAATATATTTTTTAATCTTTTTGATCTGGTTCATAATTTCTCTTCATACCAAACAGATATTTTCAAGCCGATTACAATAATATGTCTATAAAAGCACAAAACTTGGAAAATAGTTTGAAATAAAAAGTCTACATCATCATTATTTATCAGGAAAATCTTTCAGTTTTTCAAAACTCTATGATGAACTCTTCACTGATTTTGAATTACTTTTTAATGATTATTTTTTGTAATGTTTGTTTTGTAACTATAATTTATCAGGGTAAATCAGATTTTTCTTACCTCTTCTTCTTTCCTTCCTTTTTTCTAATTTTATTTTCTTCACAGTATCCTTCATTTTTTGCAACTGAAAAACTTTTATTAATAAAAGGGAATGTAAATTTGGCGACGTCTTTCATTTCATTGTACTTGCATTAATTTGCAACATTAATTGCTGTCCTTGCAGCTATTAACCTTTATGTTTGTGTCTCTTGTTTTATGGCCACTTCATGTTATTAACACATGTCAATGTGATTGTGCACTGGTGTAATTTGACACCCTTGGTACCTCAATGATTTGAATAACGTGAATTACCTTTTATACATGAACTATTTTTGGAAGTTGATATGTGTTATGTTGTGAATATATTTTTTCATGTTTCTCCTAATATTTTCCTGCTATTGAAGCAAATTTATTGTTTGTTTGTTTTTTAAATATGTCTTAATGCTAGAGTTTCTAGAAATCTGATAAAACAACTCTGGTCTTCACTGTAGCGATATATATTGGAAGAAATATACTTATTAATTAAGTGATAATGGATTATTACAGTTAACCTACATAATTAGTGTCAAATTAATTTTTTTACTCTTATGTTTTGTGTAAAAAAGATTCCAAGTGAGGAAAAATAGAGGGGGAAAATTGTGTAAATAGCTTAAAGTGTCCTTTCAAGATTGAAACATGGAATTAGATCTATTGATTGATTTTGTTGTGGCTTCTGAGATGTCAACATGTTGCTTGTGGCTTTCCAGGTGATGCCAAGTCCTTGGCTCTTACTTCATTTTGACACTTCATTTATGTAGTAGCCTTCAATGAAGAACAATCAATACTATACTGTCAGTGGCCTAAAAAATAGAAGTGCAAAATGTAAAATATTTTATTCTTGCAAGTGACAATGAGAAATAGGATATTGTGGTGTTGAATAATTTATATTCCCAACGTTGGGTTTGTGGAAAATGTATGAATGTCACTTTTTAATTTTAGAAATGTGTGAAAAGTGTAACCCCACCAAGTTTAAATGAAGAAGCATGTTGGGTTGTAACTTCATTCACTATTTCACTTTGATCATGAGTTTGTGCTTGCAGGCAGACTCACGCCCCTGCCATAACATCAACAGGCAAAACATGTTGCCTCCTCATTGAATGAATAAATTTTTTTTGTTCTGTCTTGACCTAAATTTATAACAGTAATTCAACTTTTTTAATTAATTGCAACTCTGAATGTGACTGCATTAGTGTATTAATGTTAATCCTCAAAAATTTCCGTCCAAATAAATCAGAGGATTAGTAAGTGGTGAAGTAAGGGAGACCAGAAACAACCTAGATAGGAAAGGGAGCAACAATATTTGTACTCTGGTTTTTATTGAAATAAAATTAAATACCAATTTTGTTATGTTATTCTGTATCCAGACAGTCAATTTTCAACACATTTGTGTTGTTTTTGGTTTGTACTTAAAGTATAAATAATTAAGAAAACTGGGCGATGTATGCATTAATAAGAACATCTTTCTGCATAGATTGTCTTGATGATAAAAAGGTTGGACTAAACTGGTGACTAAAATTATTTAAAAGGGAGCCAGACAGAGAGACAGACAGACAGAGAGAGAGACAGACAGAGAGAGAGACAGACAGAGAGAGAGACAGAGAGAAAGGAATAAAAATACTCATATATTCCACAATCATTTAGTCTGATCAAGGAATCTTTCAAAAATGAAGATTTTCTACTTCTGTTTCATACTTGTAACATGTCAGAGAACAATGATTCTCCCATGAAAATTGTAGTAGAGGTACCATTGATAATTAACTCACCCGACTCAAACATGGACTTAGGTCCTTAAGAAACTGCACCAGATCTTCCATTGTCTCTATAACTTCTGCCACAGCAAGATAGTCCAGAACTCTCTTACACTCGCGAATGATCTTTCTTACTTCCGACTCATCAAAACAAAGCAAGAGAGCAGATGTTCCCTGCAATATCCCACGGGAGCCTTCGATCAACTTCTTTCTGCAAACACGAAAGGCACATCATCTTCAAAAGTCTTGTACATTTCTACACCACTAAATTCACTGAGAAACTGTGAGGAGGAGTTAAGGAGCTTCATTCACTCTGTTTCCTCTCTCCCTTCAATCAGCCCTTTTCCCTATCACCTGTTTCTAGGCACAGGATTGTCCTGAGTTGAAAGGACTTTATATCCTTGTCTTTCCAGACCAGGGATGTCAAGGCCGTAGGCAACGGAGCTAGCTTTCTAGATGAGAGTAACTACTTGACTGTCCGGGAGACACCGCATCCTAGGCAGAGATGTCAACGTTGCCATTGCCATTGCCAAAACTCTGGAACCTGAGGAAGCAGGGTCCCCTGGTAGTGACAGTTAAAGAATTCACAAGCACTTAATTCAGAGTAACTGGCTCGAGATTGAAAAGCTATGACTGCACAAATTGCCCCGGAGAATAGTGTTTAAGAGTGAATTACTTACAATTACTTTCCATCTTCAGGTTAGGAGATGTAACAAATGTTCTTGTCTGGCAAAAGAGCGGTGTCCATAAGTGAAAATTATTAACTTAGAGAGACGTGTTAATTTTTTTCACATTACTGCTGTACACAACAAATAACTGAATGATGTAATAAATCATTACTCAACTAGGAAAGAATTCACCATTTGAACAAATTCCTTCACCTTGGCAAAATGTTTATACATGGCGGAATTTAAAAAGAAAGTTAAGTAATAATTAGTCGAGCATATAATAGTTCAAATCTCAAATTTTTGATGAAACAAATTAACATATTTTTGTATGTAGCCACTACTCTACACTTCACACCACTTCAGCTTGCGTGTGTACACCCCTTTCTAGATTTGGTGAAGCAATGAGATCATAGTCAAGCGAAGTTTCCCTTGCTCGCAGGAGCACCAGGTTTCTTAGGCGGGCATGTATGGACATACCTGATCTAGACACCGGAACATCTAGAACAATATTACCAATACATAATTGCACTCAGATTATGAGCAGAGCTGCTGATAAAAAATTGAATCCGCAATTATTATGTTACATAGTTCCATGTTTTTTTTATTGTATTGTAACGGTAGTTAATTTTGATGGATCTAGTGAATATTTTTCTAGTCTATATTTTATCATTTTAGTATTGCATAAGTTGTATATTTTTTCTACTTTTCTTTCTTTTTCACATCTTTGCAATTACTCATTTCAAAGTATTTTTTTACTTGAGATTTTATTTGTAAGAAAGTTTTATTATATAAATGTTTCTGGTATATACTTTATCATTTTAGTATTGCATACATTTTCTATTTTTGTATTTATATTTTTCATATCTTTGCAATTGCTCATTCCAATATACAAATTACTAGAGTTATTTTTTGTATGTATTATTGGATGCATTGTCCAAGAATTTAAATACATAAATAAACATTGTATTATTAAGAGTTCAAAAGGAGGAGGTTATACAATTCATAATATATATATTTTTTAAATTGTACTATAAATTTCACAAATAATAAGATTTAAATTATTCGTCCTTTGTCTTAAAATGTTTCATCACTACAGGAATTTAATGATATCCTGATATTAGGGTCATACACGTAAGAAAGAATGAAGTGGAGCAATACTTTCTCTAATGCGAACACTAGCACCGGAACCAATGCATTTTTCAAAAATGGATATTCATCAGATATGGCTCAACTTGAGGCCAAGGGAATTTCAAAGGAGTATGTATATATATTTTCATTTTAGGGAGTACTTTATGTGAAGCCACTAGAACAGTTGTTCTACAGACCCTTAGGGATCCACGGTGGTTTCAGAGGATCCTATGAGAAGACATCTCATCTCATTTTCTCAAATTAGATGCCTTCTGTAATCAAAATTTTAAAACTTAAATCTCGGCCAAAGCATTGGTAGTGTTGTACACATTTATGATCTATCATAAATATTTTTTGGATCTGGTTGGACACACCATCTTTGAGCAATTCTTTTCTCTAGCAGCTTTTATTCAGTATCAGGAGAAAATGTTCCAAAGGAGATCATAGACATTATTATGTCGCATTTGAAGCAATTGCACTTGTGGCTAAGAGAGTTTCTTCCGGTAAACGACAAAAATTACATGTGAATACAGAATCTATTTGTTGACAGGCTATTAACCAATCTCTCTTGCATCACAAAAAGAAGATTCTTTGACAGAAATTTCAACTGACAAGTCATTAAAGACTCAGTTTTAAAAATTACAACTACTTGACTTTCGGTTATACACCAAGTCTGACAACTTTCAAGAAAAGCTTTGAAATGCATAACAGAGTTTACTTATTTACGTGAAACAGTGGTCTCCTCACTGAATAAAAATCAATGTTGAAAGTGAACATGAAAGCGACTTACTATTGATATTATCAAATGGTAAACCTAACATTGCAGAACTAATCAAAAGCAGCTTAATTGTTTACATTGAAGACTGAACTTGTCTGGTGTAATTTATATTGTCATTTTGTCTTTTAGTATGTTTGCATCAAAATATGTGTTCGTAAATCACGTTAAAATAAATAAATAAATATATATATTTATATATATATATATATATA